GTTCTTAAATAATTTATTTATTTATTGCGTTTTGTTTATGCGTCGTCCTTACAACGACATTAGCGGAACAGTCCTTTTTAGATAAAATTGGCGCCAATAATTAACCGTAGTAATTTGAGTGTTTGACGTAGGGGCTTTCTCCATGTTAACCGACGCGAAGCGACAAGGCTCTCATTGAAAAAAGATCAATCCATAACGTCATAAGTAAACCACGTGATACGTCACTGGAGTTTTTGCGTTCATACTCCAATGAAATGCATTTCTGCTGGTAATGCTCATATGGTGGGTTGCAGTACAAATGTAAATATAAGGAAATAAATGTACAATATTAAGTCTGCAAACATGTCTCAACTTTTATAACTATCCATGATATCGTACGTCTGTACATTATTGTTGTCCAACTCCTATCCAACATGTGAACTTGTTACTAAAAAACCTGGAAAGTGTATGGCTTACAAACTGTGGGCGAAAACGTTACGGAACTTACATGGTTAGCAATTGGCCATTGTAAAAGAGTACAGATTTGTGGGCATAGACAAAGAAATATTATGACAGGTCATACAACACAGCATATCAAAAAAATATAGAAAATACCAGAAACAAAATGTGGATATAATTTTAAGTTTCGGTAGAATAATGGCATTATCAGACGTTCTTAAATGCAAATAGGAGAGTTTGAGTGTAAAAAGGTTTAACCAAGAAAAAAGTTAATAACATAAACAGTATATTAAGAAACAAAAAAATCCAATTACGACCAGAATACCCAATCAATGCATATCTAGAAGTGAGTGGAAGTCGGAATAAAAACGTGGCGAACATGCGTGATCAGGAAACCTCGGGTGACACCGCTCGAGCTCAAGACCATCCATTATGAAAGGCACAAGTACCAAGGTCCGCATTAAGTTACTGATTTTAGATATACATGTATATATAAAGACTGTGTAGACAACCATTTGATTTCTATCTATAAAAACGATCGCTCGTGACTAACGAGACAAAAAAAACTAGTTCTATTCTCCTCTATCTGACACAAGAAAGGGGGTTAAATGACATTCGAACCTATGTAACATTTAGGATTATGTTTTGTTTTGTTCAGCAACGACGGGTTGCTATATATTGTGTCAAGGATGATCGCACGTAGAATTATTTGACGATAGATAATGTAGAAGTCGAGTAGATAATAAAATGTTGGCTTAAAGTTCATGTTTCTTTGTGAAAATTTTAGCATTTGTATTATGTATGTGTTACGAATCCCATAGTTAGGTCACGAGCCCGGCGTCCTACCACTGGACTACTTTGTCTCCCTATAAGAACACGGCAGACAATCCTTTGTTTGACGGTCAATGTGAGCACATGATCAGAGAATTCGTAAACTCACTTACAGGTCGTGGAAATCTCGTCGGAGGTGAGAGTTGTTACAAGAAGCTTAATTCAAGTTTAAGTACAAATATAAACTTCCGCAGGGAAATATGATAGAATATTTCAGAGAACATAAACGTAACCTAAACTAAACATAGTCTGATGAATAGATATCTTTAGAAGAATTTGGAAAACACTTCGGTAATCTTGTGTCATTTTAACAAAAACTGGATGAAGATATCTCTGATGGTACGAAAAGCTATGCGCCTTCACGCCATATGTTTTTATAAGCTTGGTAATGCGATCAAAGAAAAGAAAGGTGATTTAAGAAACAGAGATACCTACAATAGTATTTCTATTATTAGTTGTATGGGAACACGAGTTACACATATTTTGTATAATAAATTGGAGCAGTTTGATGGCGAGTCGATAAGATAATCTATGCTTAGTTTGAATTTTAACCAAAGTTATCAGCGATAGATTATCATTTACTGCATGTTCTAACTAATCCCACCTACAATGTCTAAAAAGGTTTGTTTCATTTACTACAATAAAGCTTTCAACCTTACCAATATTCTGCATTTATGTTATATTATAATTAAAGATGGCACTGGGGGTAAAATGTTAGATATTTGAAGATCACACTAAAATAGTAAATGTTATGTTAAAAACAAAGTCGTATGCCCGGATTTCTTCGACATTATGACTGGATGTTTTCATGGAGAGGGGTTTTCTTCTCGATTGTTTTCATTGCATTTGTAGTGGACAACTGTCCATCAATTGGTTTACTGTCAATTAATCTATTTTACAATATTTTAATACGGTCAACCGAATCACCTGATGGCTTGCAAAACGCAAAAACATGCTAGACTGTTAAAATGCAATACAGATCGGTACCTTACTTTTAAAACCTCTAAACTGCCAATGGTTTTATTTTGAAATTGAGGTAGATTAAAAGGTAATGAAAATGGAAATACGATTTTAGAGATCGTTAACGAATTCAAATATGCAAGAAATGATAACGGGAAATTTAAACATAAGCAGAAAGAATAGGAGGGCAAGAAAGAAAATCATTGTTAGCATTACTGGGTGTTATAGGAATGGAATCTTAATCTTGAAACCCCATTAGTTGTATTCGCTACATATATCTGTTGTATTGCCAACTGATCTGAAGATAATAAATTTGAGGTTCCATAGAGACACCGATATCGAAAAACCTTCATATAGATATTTGTTAGAATTTACTAACTGTTCGAAAATCCACACCGAATGCGATGGTCTATTTAACAAGAAAACTTTGATTTTTAAAACAAAATCTGGTTTAAATTACTAATTAGAAATATTAGCGAGAGTTCAAAACCTCATTGTCCAGTCTTTAAGTTTTGGTTAAATAATACAAGAGCTAATATGTTGATTAAATGGAATTGACAAAACCTTTCAAATATTTTCATAATAATACAATTACTCACTTTTTCATGGAATATCAACATATGTGTTGTTATATGTCCCTTACCAGATATTGTTTCTTCGGTTTTTTACATGTACCTGTAGCATTATTAGATATTAGTCATTTATAACGCCACTAGTTTGTTAGAAAGATGAAAAGGATTTATAAAAGTACACTGTGCTTGTTTCCTCATCGTGTTTGCTTATGTGATTTGTACTATTCAAATACACTTTTAAACAAATTGATCAGTACCCGCAATTGTATTCTGAAATCTCGGTTTGGAAATAAGTATCAAATTACGTGTCATTGGGTCTGTTGAATAAGACATACTCTCTAGTATAGGTCTGGGATATATTCGGGAAGATCAGAACCTCAGAACGGGGACAGTAATAGCAAACAAAACATCAGTGAAATACAGGTGGCCTTCTGTTTAACAGACTGTAATCCTTATAACAACGTGCTTATCAACATGTTACTTAAAACGTGGAAAAATAGGTAACAAACGAGTTGACGCAATATAACATCGGCTGCTTACAAACAATGTTGTTAAATAATTAGTTTATATGTTACAAGTGAGCAGCTTCGACCTTAGTTCAAGTACAATTACATTTATCAATACGCTAGGTTTGGTGTATTGTTTTCTGTCAGGCGTACTGTAAAAAGGGGGAATTGACGGCTTATGACTCGCGTAATGATCAGTCATTACAACATGGAAGAATTGAATCTGAATTTATTATTTCTTTTCTAAACAGAAATGTTACAAGGCAAATGGCGACCATAAAATTCGTTACCATTGTAATCGTCTTTATATTTTTTAAAGTTTGTTTGTAGTCATATACAATAAGAAATGTCTTAGCTATTACAAACACGTCCCAAAGGCACGGTTGTGTGCACCGAGCTTTGTATAACTAGCATGGGTTGTGTGCACCGAGCTTTGTATAACTATCATGGGTTGTGTGCACTTCTCACAGCTATCATTTACACAACGAATGTAACCTGTGGTCATCGTCATGGCTTGAGGGCGTCGCAATTAAAAGTAACTTGATCGTAGACGACATTTGATCATTGTAAACATCTAATTGGACGACAGGAGGTAGATTCCGATAATAAAACTTCCGTATACTTTAAAGGTCTCTGTTTATGTGGCTCTGGTTGTGGCTTTACTCAAATATTTGGGGAAGTACTTTTTCGTGGATTTCTAAAATTAAAAGTTGCATAAAGGTTAACTATCCCAGACTTTCTGTCATTTTTGCTGTATCATGATTTTAATGAAACTAAATATGATTAATTGGAAAGGTAGGTATCCATTCGTGTTTAATAAAGCCGTCTCATTTTCTTTGTTAATAATCTTTGTTGTGATAACATGCAGTCTGTCGTATTAGGGTAAATCTTGCCCCTCCCCAGAGGAATTGTTCACTTTGGGATGAGGACATTGATAAAGTTCTTTATGACCTTTCAATCAATGAAAAAGTGATAATAGAATTTTTGGTCTAAAAAGAAGAATTGTAGCCGTTAGGATCTGTCCCTCATATCGTAGAATCGAAGAGGTGGGTCAAGGTCTTTATTTTCATACAATTAAACAGCCGTTTCATGATTTATTACTCAAATTAATTTTGAATTATTTCCTCTATCCAAAAGAAACCCCTTTGGAGAATTGATGAACTTTTGGTTATCAAATTCAAACTTTGATTAAGTCCCTTAGAACCATTCCAACCAAAAACTGTATTTCATTCTAGGATATCTGCGTATGACGATACTTTTTTGGCAAAAGTAGTGTATTTGACATTTTAGGGCCCCACCCCTAAGGTCCTAGTATCACCTCTCCATGAGGGGATGGATGATCCCTGGTAATACAATATGCACGTTAAAAAAAACACCGTATTTAACTTCCATTAATGAAGATTAATCGATTGGCGAATGTCTGATTCTGAAGAAGAATACTTGTATACGTTTAATATTGGTAAATTTGCTAGACCCCAAAGCTCCCTGTGGTAACATACACTCTTATTTTACATTTTCAAACCGCTTCCGACGGGTTTCATTAGACTGAAAACCATTCATCCATATTTTAAGAATTTTTAGAAAAAAACATTTCTGCAGTTTTCGCTGTTTTTCGTTCGATTCTTAACATCGAATATCACGGATTGTTCTCAACTAGAAAAATTAACAAGACCGATATTAAATTAGTTTGACATATTTTAATTGAACTCGCTGCTCGGTTTACCATATAAGTATACATCACACCGTGATTCATTTAATGGCCTGTTTGTAAACAAAACCAAGTCCACATGTCAAAAGTGTGTAATCCTCTAAAAAAAAATGCATGTATTGATAAAGTATGAACCACCGGACTTCATCAAACATGTGTTTACACTGCTGGAGTATCCAGACAACCTCGAATCTGTAAAATATATACAAGAGCTTGCGTATTCCTCCGGCCTATTCAAATAATACTATAATCTATGGCCATCTTTGTTCTGGCTGGCATTGAGCATAACTTTCGATATTGCCTCCAACATACCAAAATAGAACAGGAATCGACAGATGTACTCAACCACAATAACACCTGTATTTCAACCAAAATATCAAGTAATCACGCGACCTCACTGTGGTTGCCATGGTGAGTAAACAGATATTTGTTCCGTGTTTACTTTGCTTTACTATCCAGAATGTATAAATAATATTGTTAAGTCCCCACTGGTTCCAGTAAGCAATTATTGTTTTTTACTTTATAGACCATGGAAGAAGGTGTCGTAGGTTATTATATAATATTTTATCTGCTAAGAAGGCTCCCTTTTTATGACCAATTGATTATAATTAGGTTTTGTCACCTACGATTTGGTCTTGCTTTTATTGGGTGATTGTTTGCGTTTCATCGAAGTATAGCTATGCTCCCTTCGTTTGTTGATATGGCTAGTTTGTATGTTAATGTTCACTTCATGCTTACTGTCAGTGTTATTTTTTAAAGATGAGACAGGCTCATGAACTTGCCGCTGGGTTTGATTTTTTTGTGGGTGCAAGTGATCATTCCATTCCTGGAATACTTGTGGACGATTAAATGGTGGTTTGTGCTCTTGTTGGATAAGCATATTTTTCCATCCCTGTGGATTTCCCTTTAACACTTCGAAACGTTTTTGAAACTGCTGAAAGTTTTGAAATTGTTTGTTTCCTATTATAGGTTGACCAACGTCAATGTTCCTGACACGACTGTGTTCCGCCTGAGTTTGATTTTGTGTTTGAACATATCTTGATTGCTCTTTCGTTTCGTTCCGTGGTTGTAGGTGTACGTGCTCATTTTCCAGGTTTGTTTGAATTTTGCGTTTGTTGTTTTCTTGTTGGGAAAGAACAGGTTCGGATGGCGCTTGAATTTTTTGTTGTATTTGAATAGATTGCTCGGAATTCGGGTTTCCTAATTGTGTTTTCACAGAATTAACTTGATTTTGGATTTGTTCCTGTCTTTGAACATAACGTGCGGAATTCTGGTTTTCCCGTTGTGCTTGAACAATTTTGACGGGATTCTGTTTTTTGTGTTTTGCTTGACCATGATGGACGGGAATCTGGTTTTCTCCCCGTTTTTGTACAGAATTTACGGAATTCTGGTTTTCTCCCTGTTTTTGTACAGAATTTACGGAATTCCGGTTTTCCCGTTGTGCTTGAACAATTTTGACGGGATTCTGTTTTTTGTGTTTTGCTTGACCATGATGGACGGGAATCTGGTTTTCTCCCCGTTTTTGTACAGAATTTACGGAATTCTGGTTTTCTCCCTGTTTTTGTACAGAATTTACGGAATTCCGGTTTTCTTGTTTTGGAACAGAATTGACTGGATTCTGGTTTTCTCCCTGTTTTTGTACAGAATTTACGGAATTCTGGTTTTCTTGTTTTTGAAGAGAATTAACTGGAATCTGGTTTTCTACCTGTTTTTGTACAGAATTGACTGGATACTGGTTTTCTCCCTGTTTTTGTACAGAATTTAAGGAATTCTGGTTTTCTTCTTTTTGAACAGAATTGACTGGATTCTGGTTTTCTACCTGTTTTTGTACAGAATTTAAGGAATACCGGTTTTCTTGTTTTTTAACAAAATTGACTAAATTCTGGTTTTCTTCCCGTGTTTGTACAGAACTCACGGGATTCTGGTTTTCTTGTTGTGCTCGATCAAAATGCAAGGAATTGTTTTTGTCTTGTGTTTGAATAGAATTGACGGAGTTGGGGTTTTTCTGTTGTACTTTAACAGAATTGTTAGAATTTAGGTTTTCCATTTGTGTTTGAACGGTTACCCGGGTTTTATTTAAGAGTGGGTTTAGGTAGCTATGAGAACCATTATTCTTTGCTCTTGTTTGCAGCTCGGTTCTGCTATTATTTCCTGAAGATTCAATAACTTGTGGCACCTCCATCGGCACAGGCGATTTGGCAGGGAACAGCTTTCTGATAATTCCAGCAACATTTTGCATGTCAACATTGGAAGTATTAAGAAAACGAAATTCCCTTTTAAGCTTATTCACCAAATCAACGTCCAGCGAAAATTTGTTTAATAAATATCTGGCTTTATTTAGAAATATTTCTTCTACTTCAGGATCTAAGAAATCGTCACGTGACCCATTACCACGTCCTATCGTCCAAGGTTGATATGCTATATCGTCTTGATCAATGTCAGCCAGTATATATGTGTAGAGGCGTTTCCGAACTGTCTGTATCACCTCATACTTAATCGTATTGAGTCCGTCTTCTCTCCATCGATCAAGACTAATTTCTAGCAAACGATGTCTACAAATAGACATAAGATTATAATATTAAAAAGATACTTGAAATAAGAAAATTAAGGTATTATGTATGCTTTGCATATAACTACTTACGTATGTAACAAGACCGGGATCAATAATATACTTGAGCTTAACTAGTTTTGTATTTTACAAAAAACAAAACAAAACAATATTGAAGACAATCGATAAGGAAGACAGGAAGCAACCTTGATACTGAGGCTTACCTGTTTTTGTTGCGGTTTGAGTCTTCTTGATGTCTCAACATCCGGTAGGAGCTGACATCCGGTGTATACCGGGTAATAGACACTCCCAAATTCCGTATTCTGATGGAACAACGATACAAAGTCAGGTACAACATATACAGGCTTTTTAGAAGTTATCTTTAAACAATATCAATAGGATAGGGAGACAAGAAAAGCCAACTTAAAATTAAAAACTTTAAGTCTAGATTTTAATCAATATATAAACGTGTCATTTAAGCATACTGTATTTCGCTGTAGTTTTGTTTTTGCCTTTTTCGGTCTTCGTCACGAAGGTGAAGTTATCATTACAGCGAATAATGGTGATAACTTAATATACATCGTAATTCTATGTGAAGGGAGAAATTTATATTTAGTGAAAATTGAGTTGACGGGAGAAGGGCGAAATTTTCACTGGGCGAAAATTTCCCGGTTTACAGTATATAGTGGGATAAATCGCACGTATACATAATCAACCGTAAGTGCGTCAATTATTATGATTATACCTGCTGTATAAGTCATCATCTTCACCACCCCAACCGAAGAATTTGTTTGAGTAGCCGTTCACCATTTCAAACTGATCCTTGGTCATCGCAGTTACACCACCAAAGATCTTCATATATTGTAACCTGAAAGACGTTTAAAGAAATATGTGTATACTTCTGGTGACGATCACACGTAGTAACGAGATACTGCATGGAACACACTCATACTCACGGTGAAAAATACACTTGGTAGAGAACATCACTAAGGTTACTTACAAGCACACTACATTATTGCAAATAAGACCTTGAGAACAGTCGACAGTTAACAATATGTCATAATAATAATTACTTAAAATGCTTTATGATATACATGAAGCATCCACTGATACAGTAAAATAAGATGGTGTATACTGAACCTTTCTTTTTGTCCTGTCATATTCCAGGGTTTACAGATAGCGTATGTGAACGTTACCCCTGGGGTATCGAGGATGGCATGAACTATGTGTTACGTATGGATAGCATAACGACTGACAAGGTACTATCCCATAATCCCCAGATTTCCCCTTTCGGGAGTTCATACGTTCTCCTGACAACAAACACTTCACCCTTCGGGAATTCATACGTTCTCCTGACAACAAATACCCATAGTAACAAACACATGACACACGTGGTAGTAAGTTGTCAAGGAACTGAACATACTCACTCGTAGTTGTATTTGTCGATGGCTACAGACATATGTCTGGGGTTCTCGGGACAGGAGTACATGTTGTTATCGTTTTCCGGGATTAAGTCCACGTCATGGAAAATGAAACACTCATAGCCGTACTTCTTTGTCGCCTCAAGGAACCCAATGTTCATGGACAGCGCCCTGTTGAAGTCAACATCCGGGGCCTATTGGTGTTATAAAAGAATCAGAAAGCATGGAATAACACTTTAACGATACATCAGATAATATTTAAAATAAAAACGGCAATATCACGGACTATAACACATTTATATATTTAGAGGTTACATTGGTGAGTTCGTCACTTAAGGACGATTTTTACATGTTCATTAGCACAATGTCGAACACTATTAGGTGAAGTGCACTGTAATAAAAAAAAAAATCGCTGTCGCTAAACCTCTCGTGATCACAGATTATAGTACTTACCAATTCGATAACAAATATTCTGTAGTCAAGCTGTTGCTTCTGAAGGAAGGGGTGGAGATTATTTAAAAATACCCGGAGATGTTTCTTCCGGTTCCGGTAAGGAATGATGATAGCCACTCTATGTCGTGACCTACATGCCCTGGGTTTGTAGACACCCCCTTTGCCCACAAAGCGGTGTTTCTCTGGTAAGTATTCCTCGTCATACTCGGTCAGATCTACAGGAATGTTACCCTCTGAAAGAGATAGTTAACTAAGTCTTGCAAGTGTTATGGATTAATAACGAAAATCAATCAAAATTTTACATTGATTTCTAGTGCTTTGACAGAATATCTGCCCTTTCCAGATGAGTTACTGTAAAATCACTAACTTTTGTAATTTTGTTGATTTGGTGGGCACCTTTCATCCAAAAATTCCACGAAGCAATTACAAGTTCGACATAAGGAAATTCTCCGTTAGAGTGAGTACTCGTAATTCACGAATTCATGTACCAACGAAAAGGTGTTTTGTCAGGAAACCACGAAATTTAGACCCGACGAAAATATCTAATTTCACAGTACATAAATAAATTATTGAAAAATGTCTTGCTATTACTTTTTATTGTTTCTTTAATTGGATCACAACGTTTGGCTAAACGTTATCAACAGCGGCATGTTATTATAAACGAATGTAAAAACACGATTTCTGTTGTATAAGCGTCACGTAATGAAACTAGGCAAATTATACTGATATAGCTATACATGTATCCTGTAGTACAAGGAATACACACATAAATATATATATATAGTATTGAATGGAAGACCATTAAATAGACTTGATATGCATCACTTGAGTTTTATTGTTGTTTTCTTTTAATAATGTACACTTTTTATGAAATGATTGATAGTGAAACTTTACGTAAATAAGGCGGAACCAAAGGACATTTCGGAACTGTGTCATTTGGCTTGCTCTTCCTTGTGACATAGGGCACCACCTCAATATGGACAGATGTGGTGTTTGTTGAGTGACTGGTCGTATTCCTGTTGCTATTGGATACAGCCTGGGTCCGTATCTTCATGAAGTACCGTTCGGGCGACTCGGTAGTATACCTGCCATTCCTTATATATAAACCAGACGCATTGTACACTATCATAAGAACGAATAGTGTGAACTGCACCACAATAATCACAAAAAAGAGTTTCCGAGAGGTAATAACTTTCCGAAAATTATCGAAACGATTTTCGGTGGGAATAATCACCGTCATGGTATGCTCGCATCGTATCCGTACTGCCCCTGGTCATGTGATATCGTGTCATCGGTCATATCTGAAAAATATAATAATTCGGATTTTGTCAACAAAGAAAGGTATCAACGAAATTCGAACTCAAAATCAGCGAAACTATGGCAAATTGTTTGTCCAGGCATCACCGATGAGTGTTAGGAGGACGAAACAGCTGTATGGTGCAGTGTATCTCATTCTGGTCATACTGTATCTGTTAAAGGGGCAGTCACATGTTTGTCTCGCACGTTCATCTCATTGGTGATCATTAGACAGAATTGCTCCCTTCAGTGTATATTTGGTATATTTTAGTTTGCATTAAACAGACGATTATAAAATAACGTTTTTTCGAGAGTTTTCCATTCCCCCTTTGAACATCCAGTTACTCTCAATTATTTATCCATGTTATTGTGACGGGAAAACACACACGTATGACTGTACCTACAGTGGCAAACATGCATTACCCGGCACCATATATAGCTGGTTCGGTCTCATCGGCTCATCGGTGATTCAAAATCTGAACTGGTCTAAACTACTGTTAGTTGTGGAGGCTTGTTAACTCCCTTAACTGATAATTTTCAAATTTTAAAGGAGTTTTGTTTAATTTTAATTTCATAACGAGTAAAGTGTGTGTACTATGAACCGTGCCACTTCCATAAAGAGTTAACTGTGGCCATCAAGATTACGGCAAAACTCGGGGTTTAAATAAACCACCAGCCGTATATACCACCTTGTTTCTTGAAAGATGAGAAAGGTGAACATAAACATATATAACCACTATGTACTATAACGTCTCTGTAATTATAAATGATGGTAACTGTCACATTTTCACCAGTCTTTAATAAAAGCTAGATCATGGTTAAATATAATGTTTAATATTTGAATGCTGTTGAATTAGAAATGTAAAATTACTTTTATTTCTTTAACAGTCTTTAATTCTATACCCTACCTAAAATAATTAATAAATGGAGAAAAAAACACAAAAGCTCTGTAAATGCATGATAAAAAGTAGAAATGTACATGCGTGACCGAAGTTTATCTTTAAATGCTTAACAGAACGTGTGATAAATGTCCATTAGCCGATAAACAGTCGAATAACATGAAAAATATCCCGAACTAAACTTTAAATAAAAGATATTGGTTGTTTATTAATGACTCTTCCACAATCGTTTTGTCGCACTAAGGGGTGAAATAAAATCCATAATTTAAGAATAAAAAAACGTGCGTCTTTTACATAACTAGTTTCCATTGTGTGGGAAGCTTAAAGTGGGAGCTAGTATTTGCATTATAAATATAGAGTACGTGTTTGGTAATGGTGTTAAATGTAAGGATGGTTGACTAAATGGTAGTTCAACAGAACCGATGAACAAGTCCAGGGTAAACCAATCAGTTGTTATAATAGGAACTTATTTGATGTACGTTCCGTATTTCAAGTGACTATTATTATTCTAATAGTAATCCCAGTGCGTTGAGAGTCCCGACTTTCAAAGGGTATTTAGTGTGTAAGCATGTAGAACAAACAGGTAGAGAACCCGTGCTTCTTGTCAACATATTAATTAGATTTAGGACACGGACTCTTAAACTCAAGGTTCAACAAGTTTGTCAACGTTATAGGGTTACCCTAAAATTCTTACCCGAAGATAGCTAGGGTAGGAGTGGAGACCAGGATTAAGAAAAATGGAATTCACAAGCATTTGTGTAAGTAATAGTAACAAATAGGAACATATTGAACTTAAACTTGAATAACGCGATTGAAGCTGTAACAAGGCATTAAGACTGACGTCAACATCACTGACGTCTAAATGTTACTAAATGGAGCATTTCATAAAACTCACTTATGTTTTCTGTAGATTCGGTCTTGAGTCATTCAGTGTTACAAGTGAACTCTCTCATACTGTAAATGTTTAAGGGTATAGTTTTTTTTGTTTACAAATACTGATACATTCCAAACTCTTTTATAACCGGAGTGTAATGAAATGACACGTCATCTACAACACATTTACAGTGTATCAATCTAGTTCTATTTTTTGTTGAATTTTCAAACTACTTACGACAATCAGGACTTTTATAATAATAATAATGCATCCCCCATCGGAAAAAAATCTATACTAGTTCGTTTTCACAAAAGCCTCCTGGTATTATCCTTAAAGTTGATTCATCATGAAATTAACATATACAGTACATTTATGAATAAGCATACACGAGACTTATTCTGCGTTACATCATAACTAAGGACGCCGAAAAACATCATTTAAAATATATATATGAAATTTATTAGACTAATTTTGGAATACGCAGATATAAATGTAATTCATTAGGAAGTGATCTCACGTCACAATATTTACAAGAATTTACAAAAACCGTTAATAACAACCTCAATGACCATCCCCATTGTCTACGACGAACCGGTAGTTTTAATTCACCTTTATGTAGAATTCTTGTTTTCCTCTCATGTATCGTATTATATATAATGTGGATGATACTCTGCCTAATGCCTCCAAAATCGATACAGTTATGGATTGTAGTGACCCTTGACCTTGACCGAATATGGTCTGTTGCGTCACAGTAGATAACGTCACTACTAGTTCCGTAACCATTATTGACGGCTCTTGGTCTAAAAGTGCATTATGATGTCGTTGTTATTTAAAAAAAGGCTTGATTAGATGAAACAAAAAGGAATAATTGTTCATTTAAAATGGTTTGATTGGGAATTTTCTAAAGCTTTTTTGAGCGCAACGGGCTCCAAAAATAATATATGTAATGTGTCGTTTGGTCGCCAGTCGTCTCTATATAGAGGAGATCTATTAAAAATAATCATGAAGGTATGCTTCTCGAGTTATAAAATAAATATAATCTACGCTCGTTTCATTGTCATAAATTCAATAAAACACAAACACATGTGTTAGATCCTCTATATCAGTAGCAAGGGTTTTTGAAGATGACTTAAATAGCGGAAATATATGTGACGAATGTATTCACATTGGTGAGTGTAATACGCCAAGATGATCACCTGATATACAAACTCAGGAAGCACCTATATTAAAAATTGTCAAGACGACGCAGGAAACTAAAAAAGGGAAACAAAAACAATTGAACTGTATCATATAATAAATGCCATCAAGAAAAATGTATAGGCTGATACTACCTAACACCAGCTATTAAAAGCGCGGTAATCTAAATTTAAGTAGAAATATAGTACAACACTAGCATGTCTAACACAGTGATTAAGATTAATTAAGGTTGACCAGTCTATAAAATTCCGAGTTCTACGACAGTCCCTATTCTCTTCGTGCAGGAGGTTAACGAGACACCAGTTAGAATGCTGCGACGGCTAAGGGAAATTGACGACTGGGAGAGTGCAAAATCAATCAGTAAGATGCTTGTCTTACAATTAAAACAAAATAGAAGTAAAGGCAATATCCTTCCTGAACGACCTCCAACGGCAATTAGGCAACAGATGAACACTGGACAAGCTTGTTAGTATGTTCAAGCATCTAATAGCGTACTTACATTAAACCTCCAAGAATTTACAACATTTCTATGCAAACCTTGCACTAAACAAGATCGTAAAACACGCTTCTTCAACACTTTACTAGGACATGTATGAGAGGTATGTAATCCTTTAGTATAGACGCACTAATTAACTGTACCTCCTACATGTTTATACGCGCAACGCAATAATCGTTTAAAATTCGCATGCCTCGTCATATAATTCTTTCTTGAGCATAAACAAGTACCTATTCAACTGAACAAAATGTATTGATTGGTCTGGAATTTGAACTTGTAGTGTAATTTTAAATTCCATAGAACTGTCATTTAAATTCTAAAGTGTAGCTCCTGAATATCTATGTCAGACATGTAATTATTTAGGGTAAGGGTTATGGTTAACCCGTTTTCCCAGTGTGTTTGATCAATAAGTATGCGAGTCTGTGCCATGTCAGCTTTGATTGTCTTTCTATATTGTGCTTAACCAATAGCTACAGTCTCAGCATTGTCAACTTTTTTCCTGTCCTCCTCCTAACCTATTCTATCTGTCGTGTTGTGATCACTGATGTTGGACAGAAGCCTGACTTCATTGTTGCGTTTGCGCAGTTTTTTTCTCATGTTTGCACAGACTTTATGGGGCAATATCTTTGTTCTCCTACTGTGTTGCCGCAGTTTGAATGGCTCGTCATTTTCTTTTATGATTGGAGCGGTAAGAGGTAAATATTGCCCTGGGTTAAAACAGCAATTAAAATGGTCCTGATTTCTCTGGTTGTTTTTACACGGCTACTGCTTGAATGTTCCATAACAACATGCATTATTTAAATGCGTTGATAACGATTATGGTCGATGTAGGTGATTAAACTACAATGCAGGCATTGCAATAATGACAATCAATATTAGTATAACTTCTGTTAAAATCTCGTAATCTGATTGGTTGAGAAAGATGTGAACATTTTCAATGTTACTTGCTCGTTTTACAAAGATAAAGAAGACAGGTTGACATTCCAAAAAATATCACATGCGCCAAACGTATGCGTGCACGGTTCGTCCCAGCGCCAGGGTGTTATTCCAAAAATTGTTACATGCGCCAAACGTATGCGTGCACGGTTCGTCCCAGTGCCAGGGTGTTATCAAATCACATTCATGGTTGGTTCATTCGACCACTGTTGAGATGAAGTCTTGGTTTATGTCAAATCAACACAAGGACCTTTAAAAATGGTGAAGTGGTGAAACACCTAAACATGACACTCGGTATAATAAAATAAAAATCACATTCATGAGAGGGCGATATTGCATATTTTCACCCCTCGGAAAGCATTGTTGACCTCGACTTCGCCTCGGTCAACAATGCTTCCTTGGGGTGAAAATATGCAATATCGCCCTCTCGTGAATGATATATTTATATAGTGTATCCTCCTGTTGGTTAATTTTCCATTGGGTACGTTTGAGAATAAACTCACGGGATTAGTAATGAATCAAAATCAATTAGTACAAGCTGGGTAACAATAGGCTCGTCATGATAAAGCCTATAACAGCTTTGGAATATAGAGTACTACAGGCTTACGTCATGCGAGTTTGTCATTGATAAAAGACCATACTACCAATCAATATTCACTTAGAAAACAAAGGTGTGTGGTTGTTTTTTAAATTATACCTTTAATGTAAGACAGAAAAAATACAGCATTCTTTTTTCCATTAAAGATAGAGATGTCTATTATTTTTATTTAAGATATGGATGTCCATATTTTTTCTATTTAATATCGGGATGTCCAATTTATTTTTATTTTTAAGATAGTGATGTCCATATTTTTTGCTATTTGATATAGGGTCCAATTGTTTTCTATTTAAGATACGGATGTCGACATTTTTTCTATTAAAATAGGGATGTCCATATTTCCACATGGGGTAGGGAAAGACAGCTGCTTTGACATAATACTAATGAATTGTCGACGTGACGCCATTGAATTGTTTCTGTGATGTCATACAATTGTTGTGAATGGGGAATTTTCCGTCTCCATCCTAGGGTTTGAGGGTTTAGCGGAAGAATCAGATCGATGTTTTTTCCGACTGGAATTTGTTTATTTGTAATTATGTGAGAAAATAATCAAACATCGGCCTGTTCTGTGGACAGGGGTATCTCAACCTGAGTGTAAGAGTTTGGCTGGTCAGCCAATATATTAATATAGTATGTCTTATAGTAGTGTAAGAATCCCTAAGTCCTGGTGATCATACCTACCTAGATTTGGTGACACGACTTTGTAATCTTTAAACAATCTGTTCGTAATAAGGACCAGACCTGTATAAATATCTCACCTTGAACTTTACAAAGCAACCGTTCCGGCCTAATACCTTCGTAGGTCACCAACACGAATTCGGTTCAATATATCTGAGGTGATTGAGTAATGAGTATTGAGGACAGAAATAATATGTAATCGCCTCTACAATTTTTTTATTCGAAACATTTGTTAAATATGTCAGAGATATTACTGAAATAAAAAAAGGTGTAGATATTTTTTCTGATTTTGCAATTTGTATGAAAACTGCAGACATGTATTCCTGACGCGTTTATAGATTTAAATGTCCAGAATAATGACATGTTCTTCCATTGTACCTCTAATTGATTTTCTTTTTACATTATTTTTTTTTTACATTAAGGGTTGTTACAACTCTCTTTAATGTAAAAGTATTAAATTAAGGGTTATATTAGAAACCCTTTGTGATGAGGCCACGCCTCTTCCAATTGTAAACAAACAAAATAAGGTTTTTGGGCACACCCTTTATTGCATTTTTAATCATAAAGTTGCGAATCGCACACTGTCATGCATTTATGATTGCATTAAAGGTATTTTTACCATTAAGGATTTTCAAAGTTTCTGGTGTATTGTATTGTAAATGTTTATGTCAAATATTCCATTGCTCCCTTGATTTGAAATGTTAAAAACTCTTACATGTCTGATACAAATTTATTAGATCAATTTTGCAAGGTTTTGCATGTACATAATTTGTATCATAGTTTTGTACCAAATGTAGTAGTTTAAAGACCATGTGGAAATTATGTGGGGTACTCAGCGTTCCATTCATGGATTTTGTACCAATTACATCAACTATGGGAGTCATATTTATACTCGGAGCCTATTCAGTCATTATCAATTGAGGGTTTTCTCTATTCAAACATATAGGGTATACCTGACAGACTCTCTACTGCTATCAGATATGTATGGGGACATTTTCAAATATCAACTTTCGACTGGGTACTACAATTATGAACATGTACTATCATTATTCCAATGACTAAGTTTTATACTTATTCAAGTAGTTTATAAACAATAAATACTAAATTGTACTTGTAGATCTGAAAGTGGCCTACCAATATACCTGTAGATATCTGTCCAATAGGTCACAGATATCAATGGTTTATAATTAATAGACATGCACATATATTTGTAGATCTGATAGTGCCCTACCAATATACCTGTAGATGTCTTTCCTATAGGTCACAGATATCAATAGCTTATAATTAATAGACACGCGCATATATTTGTAGATCTGACAGTGCCCTACCAATATACCTGTAGATATCTGTCCAATAGGTCACAAATAGCAATATTTTATAATTATTAGACACCCGCATATATTTGTAGATCTGACATCGCCCTACTAATATACCTGCTCATGTCCGTGCAATAGGTCACAGATATCAATAGTTTATAATTAATAGACATGTACATATATTTGCAGATCTGACACTGGCCTACCAATATACCTGTAGATGTCTGTCCAATAGGTCACAGATATCAATGGTTTATAATTATTAGACACCCGCATATATTTGTAGATCTGACATCGCCCTACTAATATACCTGCGCATGTCTGTCCAATAGGTCACAGATATCAATAGTTTATAATTAATAGACACGCGCATATATTTGTAGATCTGACAGTGGCCTACCAATATACCTGTAAATGTCTGTCCAATAGGTCACAAATAGCAATAGTTTATATTTAATAGACACCCGCATATATTTGTAGATCTGACATCGACCTACTAATATACCTGTGTATGTCCGTGAAATAGGTCACAAATATCTATAGTTTATAAATAAGGGAAAACAACACCTACCTGTGTGTCTGACGCCCGCCGTCCACATACATGTAGGAGTCTGTCACATACAGTCACAGAAGGTAATACTGGTAGATCTGACAGTGACCTACCCACATACGGGTCATGACTGTCCAATTTAGTCACATATACCAGTAACAGCTTCAATGCCTAGACACTCGTACCGTATTGGTGTATTTGACGGTTAGTTTGACATCAATCCGTATGTTCTGTGTCGAGCTGTAAAGGTCTTTTATAATAGGTATATACAGGGCAAGGCGTATTTTTGGAACGTCTATCGTGTAATCATAAAGGCTCGTAACGGTTAGATTCCCGCCATACAAGTACAATGCTGTGTGATAATGTCAACATATATTCAAGGCCGTGTAGATTATTATGTGCAATTATATAGGTTCCAGACGATTTTTTTTTATTTTTTATTGATTTACGATTAATTCATTTTAATTCTCAATTACTTATTATGTTTTTTAATTATTCATTTATTTATTTGTTTAATTTTTGTCTATTTATTTAATTAATTTTTCACTGATTTACATCACATATAGAACAGAATGGGCCCGAATAGTCAATTATTGAGGAGGAAACACAAAATAGCGCAGCACATTGATCAAAAGTTCAATCAATGTCATATCTTATAATCTGTGTACAGCCATGACTTGGTTGACAATGGGTAGATAGTGCAAACAGCTTTAAACAGGCACCAAGCCAACCTGATAAACATAGAATTCACTAGGGAGGTTTTATGTCTTAAAATTAAACAGGAGCAACTCAAATCCCAATTGTTAGTATTTGTTTTGATAGGGGAAGGTTATATTGGATCACTGCACATGTCTAATTACATAAATTATATATGTATAGGGATGTCCATACGTTTCTATTTAAGATAGGGATGTCCATATTGTTTTCTATCTAAGACAGCGATGTCTATATTTTTGATGATAGAGATGCCCATATTTGTTTATTTAAGATAGGGATGGTATTTTTCTAGGTAGGGATGTCCACATTTTTACTATTAAAGATTAGGGTGTCCATATTTTTTTCTCTCAAAGATAATAATCACCAACCAACACGTGATTATGATCCAACCAATGAGTGTGTAGGAATAATTTATGGCATATAACATATTACAGTGTAGCACTATCATATAACATAATACAGTGAAGCACTATCATATAACATAATATAGTGTAGCACTATCATATAACATATTACAGTGTAACACTATCATATAACATATTACAGTGTAGCACTATCATATACACAAGGTGGTGTGTAGTGTAATAACACCGTCATACCTCTACCTTCATTTGTCATATAACATAAAACAGTGTAGCACTATCATATACACAAGGTGGTGTGTAGTGTAATAACACC